TGTACAATTTTTGAAGCTTTAAACTTTATAAATAAAAATAAAATTTTATTTTAAGGCTATCACAAAGATTTTCAGTGTTGAAACCACATTTCTCGATACTATTTAATGGTATGCTCTAATTTGATTGTTTAGCGCCTAGGCTCTATACAAACCGCACCCTTTTTTAAATATTACTCATATTTTATCTTTAGAATTTAAAAAAACTAATAAAACCAGTCTAACTGGCAGTCAAACTAAAATTGGCTGCACCATCCCCTCAAGAGTTTAGTGACAAGTCAGATCCTAATAACAATCGTTTCGAGCATATCAAATCTCCACTATTTTGGAGGGTTGTTCGTTAAATTTATGTCATTTGATTTATATTTGGATGCTCTATTATCTTCAAATTAATCATTGTACATAAAATATTATTTATACATTTATACAAATTACTTACATATAGTAATATATAATTATTTACATTTGTAATGTATATTAATTATTCCATAATTGATGTTAGTTATTATATACTAATGATTATATAATTTTTAATATGTATTAAAATGTAATAATATATATTATAAGATTTAATTATACGTTATAGCATATAAATTAATTGTAGTTATATATTATATAATTAATTGTTTACAACCAAATCCGGCGAGATATGTGATGAAACCTCATTTGAATTTTATGCTTCAAATGAGCTAAAATATAAATATGTAGAAATAGTGGGGTCCGTCGAATTACAGTTAAAATAGAAACTAGATCTTGAGAAATCAAAGTTCTTTAAGAACCAGTGGCAGATCGGACTTAATATTGCATAAAATACTATCCAAAAATCCAAAAACCTATAACATATTAAACTAAATCAATTGAGAAATAAAAGAAAATAAAACTTAGCTAACCAGGCTAATCGGCCATGCACACCTGAAGACCCAAAGTTAGTGCATGTATCAAGACCACGTGTTGTTTACAACCATTGCCTTATTTTTTATCATTGGGCATGACTAATATTTATCTTTGGGAAAGTTTATATAGAGCCGAGGTTCTAATCAATAAAATTAGAGCCTATCTCAAAAAATTCACTATAAGAGGTTGTTTTGGTGCCCAAATATCGTCAAATTGATCATCTCGACATCAAGTTGTATGGATATGAGAAAAAGATGGATTTCAAGTTTTGAAAATAGTTATTTCGTAATGAATTTTTGGACCTTCAATTTTCAAGATTTTAAAGTTTTCATAGATATGTCGATCTACACTATTTTTGAAGCTTTAATTTTTATAAATAAAGATAAAAATATATTTTAAGGCTATCACAAAGAGTTATAGTATTGAAACCACATTTCTCAACACTATTTGAAGGTAGGCTTTAATTCGATTATTTAGAGCCTAGGCTTTATACAAACCGCACTTATCTTTTAAGGTTATTTACATGATACAAACTTATCTTTTATAGACAAATTACACATCATAAAATATAGAAATAGATCATAATTTCCTATACTATACTCAGATTTATTATAAAATACAAGATATTGCATCTACCATTCCTAAATATACAGATTACAATATATACCTTCTATATTAACAATGTATATAATACATACTTTCCTTCCACACTCCCCCTCAAACTCAATATGTTATAAGAGAGAGCAGCTGGAGTTTGAATACTAATTGCGGAAAACGAGTAGTTGAAACTTCAGGTGTATAGTATGACTAGTAGATGCAGTAGTTGCCATGCTCCGATTGTTTGATCAACAAGCACAAAAAGCAGCGACGGATGAACAAACATAAGGAACAAATGGCCTCAAGAACTGATGGCTATAGAGAAAAACATATTAGAGAATTGAAAAAGACTCGGCAGAGAGACAAATCCGAGAGTCAAAAAGTTGCATCGACCGGGTGAGCAACAAACTCATATTGAAAATCAGCCACAATGCTTTAGGGACGAATAATATACATAGCTAAGATGAATCTGGCTCTGATACTATGTGAAAAGTCTCAGGTTTATTTGGCTCTGATACCACCTGAAACATCTCAGGTTTATTCGAATAGACTCAGTGTCCATTTATGGTATATTCATATAAACTTGTATTTTATAGAAAAATTATATATCATAAAATATAAAAATAAATCACAGTTTCCTATACTATACATAGACTTACCATAAATACAAGATATTGTATATACCCTTCCTAAATATACATATACAATATATACATCCCATATTAACCAAGTATACAATTTATACTTTATTTTCACAAAATTTACTAATGTTTAGTTTGAAAAGCTAGGATTTATAAGGTTTGATGGCCTAGGTCTAGGGTTAGCTTATAGAGCAATGATTTCATGCAACAATGGTATAATAGTGTAATAGTATAATGCAACCACACTTCTAAAAAACCATGTTTTTGGCATTTATATGACTCCAAAATTTGCACACCCATTCTCTTCATCCTCATAATCAATCTTATGGAAAAAAAAAAATTCAATTTGCACCCTAGATACGGTCAAAATTAGTACCCTCCAACAATGAATCTCGACCATCCATTCGGTGAATTTCAAGATCTAGGCCTTGACAAATCCAAAATCATTTTTTTCTTTTTTAGCATTGTTAATCTAATGATGATAACACTATATAAAAATTTTGGGAATAAAAACATCCTTTTGAGGCCTATATCTAACCTTCTCACTGGAATGGACGGCTTATATTAATTGGGGTAGAAAAACACTTTTTAGGGCACTTTTTTCTAAATTTTATTTTTATGTGATTATTATTTTGAATGAAAAGAGTATAAGAATTGTGTCAAACAAATATCTCTAACATGGTTTTTTAGTGTAGTTGCATTATATTATGATACAACCGTTGCATGAAATCATTACTCTAGCTTATAAATTCAAAGTTATAACTACAAGCCATATTAAGCCCCACAACTCAAAACAAAAAAAAAATTGTATATTATGAGTAAATCCCTTTTTTTGTTAATCTTTTGTTTCAATTTTACCCTCACTAACGAGATTCTAAATCTAAAATCACTAGTCTTTGTTTGTTTTAAGTGACTATTAAGTTTGGATGTTAAAAATCATAAGTCCCTCTTGACTTCGGATTTTGAATATTCGAAGTTGTATGGAAATCTCAACTATAATACAACTTCGAGTATTAAAAATTCATAGTCAATAGTGATTCCAGATTTTCAATATCCGAGTAATTTTAGTTTTTTTTTCTAAAAATGACTTCAAAAAATTATAACTGTGGATATTGAAAATCTGAAGTCATCGGTGAGTCTAGATACCCGATCCCCATTGTTGTGACCTCTTTATACTAAAACTAAGTTGTCTCTTTGTATAAATTTTTAATAAAAAAATATTTTTTTTAATTATTATATTTTTTAAATTAGGTAAGTATCTCTAAATTAAATTTAGATGGCTAAAAATTAAATGGTCCCAAAATCAAATGGAACTTGACACGTCTTACCTCTCAAAGTAAATGCAAGTGAAATAATGCTTCAAACTCACATACATGTTATAACCACTTCCAAGTTTCAATGTAACCTTAACTACTCCATGTAGTTCTCTCTCTCTCTCGTGGTTCTTTCTTATCTCACTCAACGTGCCTCATAGCATGTGTCACGAGTCACACATTCTCTATCTCTCTCTCTCAGTCATATCCAGTGTTTTAAATTTCGGATAGGCCGGATGAATCGGTGATTTGGCAAATCGGTTTGAATTGATAATTATCAGTGATTTAAAAAATAAATTGGTGTCTTGGATCGAGTATCCCAAAAATTGGTCCGGATCAGTAAATCTGCAGTCCGGATCGCTATTTTACTGTAAAAAAAAATAGCGAACTCGCAAAAAAATACGTGAAAAATAGTGAACTGGCCAAAAACCGGATTGGATTGGTGAATCGACGGTCCAGATTGTCGTTTTATTGTAGATAAACGTTGATTTACTATTCGGAACCACTAGTTCCCTAATGGATTTGGTTGTTTTCCTATATATATATATATATGCAGAATCGAAACAAGGTGACCGATCCTTGAATAAGACCAAACGTTTATGTGCCGACCCAGTGTTTTTTAATTCACTAATAATTACAATGGGATTGTAAGGGGAAGGGATTTAAATTATAAGGGAGTAAATGGTAAAAAAATAAATAAACAGCAATTTGTTAAAAGGAATAGTAAAAAAGGGGGTTAAAGGTTGAGGGGTAGCTACTCATGGACGAAGGATGTATAGGGGACCTTCAAATATGAGGTTTGTGTTTTCTCCCAAAATATTATGGTTTTTTGGAAAATATTTTTTGCATTGAAGTCAGTCAAACCCTAATTTTTTTTTATCATAAATCCATTTCTAAGATGAATTTTGGAGGGACTCTTGGCTGACTAATAAAAACCTTCGCATGGGTGGATAAAGTTTTTGTAAGACCTAAATAAAACCTAGTTAAAATCTTCCAAAAGCACTTTGAGCCTAAGAGATCTCCATGATGGCTTTAAAATTGATTTTTAATATGGATTATGAATTTTAAGCCAAAAAAACAGTACAAATCTTGCATCGAACACTTATTTTTTGGGTAAAATAGATGGTCTAGATAATGAGTTAATACATTATGTTTAGGGTTTGAAATCTTTATTTTTTGTTCATCATTATAAGGGTGGCAATCGGCTGGGTAGCGTTACAAAATATGGTTCGAGGGCTGGGTTAGACCAAGATAGGCTCGGTCCGGCCCAACGCTTCATTTTTTTTTTTTTCATATTTTCTACATTGTTTTCCTTTAATTTTACCTGATGCAGGCTGCCCCGATCGAGCCGTAATAGGGCTAGAACCGGCCCATATGGCAGTAGGCCCGGGCTAGATCTAAGTCTGGCCCAGCCCAAGTCGGACCCGGCCCAGCCTAGCCTATTGTTAACCCTACACAACCATAATGGTCAAGGCCATTATTTGAAGGTGTTTTCAAGCGTGAGAACCGCAATTTTTTATGTTTTTATGGCGAGACTTAACTTATTTTAATAGAGCTGCAGCCTTATCAAACTTAATTTTTTATTTTATTAGAATAACGGGAACCTCTTGGGAGAATCTCTGATACGATATTTCTTCAGAGAGTGAATCGCTCCTCCATGTGAGTCGAGCTCAAAACTCTCTCTCCCTTCGTTCTCTAGTTAGTGAGAGAAAACCCTAATTGTTGTCGGAGCTTTGGGGTTTCTAATGAGGGTTCAATGAAGGCTTGGAGCTCTCTCGTTGTCTTGATACCTGTTTCTGTAGGGATACGAGTGGATCTAGGGTTCGTTTTGACCTGAAGATTGTTATTTCGGGGAATATAATTCGTTAATGGCGGATCAGAAGATAGTGTCGGGCTGGATTTTTATAGGATTTTTCTGTGGCCTTTTTGGAGTTCTTTATGCCAGTGCAGGCGATGCTGATCCCCTTTACAGGTAGCTCTCTGATGAGTGTTTGATTTTTTGATTCATATGTCATGTGTTCATTTGGTTATGGATTTATTGTCGTGTGTTTATTTATTGCTCCTCAGGATTTTAGTCTATGAACTAGTCTTCTGGTCATGGATTGATTTTTTCTCTCTAGGAGTTTGAGCGGTTTTCTATTTTCTAATCTCTCTCTCTCCTCAAATGTATTCGTGCTGTTGTTAACATTTGAAGTTCTTCAGTATTTACTCATAATATTTGATTATCTATTATAAATGTTAATTTTTTACTATTATTTATATTCCCCCTTTTTTATTTGTTAATATTGTTGTTAGGTTTCTTTGATTTTTTCATGGGGTTGATTTTACTCTCTCTCTTATTTCATCGGTCTATTTTGCTTTTTCATCTTTTATCATTATTTATCGTTTTCTGTAAAGTATATGACATATTGACATGCGTACTTCTCTCTCTAGGAGGTTGCCCACTATGGCCGTATACAATTATTTGGATCCCTATCTGCTTATTTACATGTCTTGTATTTGTTCTTATTATCACATGTATTGGATAATTAGAATAGCTCTTTTTGATTGCTCCGTTTTTTTACATGTTATTTATTTTGGTAAATTAGGAGTTTGTTTTCTTGCAATTCAACATTTACATGTCATTTAGTCTTTTAATTGATCTTTATCTTCCTTTGGCCATTGAAGAAGTAGCAGGAGCGGGCCTTTGAAAAATACAAAATAATGTTACAACCATGAATTGTACTCGGATACACAAACCAATTCTAGTTGTATGTTGGTCTATGCGGACGAGTCCCGACACAGTGGAAACAAATAAACATACACAAAACCTTAAGGATTTGATAGATGTTACTTATTTTTATATTTGATTTTACTAATTTGTAGTTGGAGTAGATATCCCATTCCTTCCCATTCCTCAGGTTGACCTCATGATTACTAAAACCAAAAATACAATTTCCCAATGCAAATCTTGAGACTTTGATGGATGGCCTGGACGTTCTTGAATTGCCAATGGGGTTTTTCTTTTCTAGGAGTTTTAATGAAAGAGACTAGCAGTAGAGCGAGAGAGAGGCACATCAGGTTTAGAGAGAGAGAGAGAGAGAGAGAGAGAGAGAGAGAGAGAGAGAGAGAGAGAGAGAGAGAGAGAGAGAGAGAGAGAGAGAGAGTAG